ATACTATGATTTTTATAAATTGTGGTAAAAGGTCTCATTCATCCCAATATCTCAAATGTTGAACAATCTTTTTCATAAGTATTTATTAGTGAATTAACAGTTGCCAATCAAAAGAAAAAAAATAAAGTCCTCATTTCATTCAAGTTGGGTTTGGACTTGATTCTTAGTAAGTAGCCAATTTAGATGACATTTAGTTTACAGGAGACTTCAAGAATTGACAGACAACATAAACTGCAAGTGTCCCCTGTCTTTACCCCCTGCTAACCTGTGGTTGTTGCAGTCAACCCCGCTGCCCTGCCAGCTTTCTGTTTTCCACAGCTATCCTGCTGAATGCTTCTCCTTCCTTTTGCTTGAGCTGAATGAAGCTTTCAGGGACTGCTTGTCCACTGGTGAAACCATGTTTCACCAAGGCCTTTCCATTTGATTGTGGGTATTTTTAAGAGTAATACCTCACTACGTTTAGGAATAAATGAGTAACCCTGTAACCATTGCTTGCTGTAATGTCTTCTGGCAATGAAAAATAGAACTGAATTGATTCTGTGATGTAACTGTACCACTTTAAACACTTATCCTATAGCAATAGGTCAAGAATGCTGTGTCTCTCATCACCAGCATTGTTACCCAAGTTCAAAATTCCTTCTGTGTTTCCAGGGTAGTCCATCGAATTGTGAGACTGATTTTTTTTTTATTAAAATAAAGTCACTGAATTGTTAGAAACATAGTTCTCTGTGAGAAAATAATTTTAAGAACTGATTTGGAAATGACTATTTCAATGCTTTCATACAAGACAGAAGTGAAAGCAAGCTAATATAAAATATGAGATTTGTGAAACATCTTTAATAAGTAAAAAATACTCATTGTAAGTTCATTTTAACTACTTAGGGCATTATGATTTTGCTTTCATTCGAAAAACAAAGATCAAAGGGTTTTATTTTCTTATATAATATATATATAATAATGAGCATATTATTCCTACAGTATAGATAGAATCGCTTAGTTAAGGATGCTTAAAAAGGGATTCAAATGTCTAATAGAGGACTTCAGTTATACATATATATGTTTATTTATATATATTTAAATGGTCTTCTTATGGCTCTTATGTCACCACTAAATACATAAAGATACTAAAAGAAGCATACTTTGAGAATTAAGATTGACCTTTAATTTAAGAGTAATTTCACTGAATTAAAATTTTCTGTATGTTTATAACTTTTTGAGTTTTCTATAGTAAGGTAATTGAAGCAGTTTCACCCATTTTATCTCACATCTTTGTTGGAAATGAGCTCCATATCTAATTAGGTTCTTTGGTATTCTTTCTGGGAAATGCACCAGCAATTCATGTTTTGTTTGTTTTGTTTTATGTTTGCTGCATTAACATTATTTAGCAGGCAAAAGTAAAACAAAAAACAAGCAAGAAACAAAAGGAACTATGTAAACCAGGAAGAAAAGTTCAAAGGAAAATATATTGCTCGAGTGTAAAATGCCTATTTGAAAGTTCAGAACTTGTAGAACTGAATATTAACTAAATTTCATAATGACAAGAATGACTTTTTTGCTTGAGCAAAGTCTCTGATAGTTCACAGTTTCCTGAGGACATGTAAAAGAAGCAAAATTACTGGTAGTAAGAAAATGCCTGGTAAATGGGAACTAATTTCATTTTTACCTGAACATCTGTTGGCCAAGCACCTTAAATGTTAAACTGAAACCTGTAGCCTTACAATTAAATTCATTGAAATCAGGTTTAATATATTAATGACTTAAAATGATAATGGTATGAATAACTCTTTTTTTGTAGAACATTTGTCATCATACCTGTAATCACAAAACCTGGCTTAGAACACAATAAATTTGGCTTTGGTGTGAACATTTCACAATGGGTTAAATGTCCAGTCACCTTGTTCTTAAAATTCAAAGCTATATGTTTTCTCTGACAAATTTGAGTTTGAATTATTTGGATCATTTTCTAATGTGAGCCATAAAAATAAATAGCATACATGTGTAAATGTGCTTTTTTGCATTTCTACAACCTAAAGATCAGTTTGGTTGAAAAAAAATAAAATTTAACAGCTTTTAATTTGTCATGTGGAATCTGATTCTATGTGCTTTTTATTACCTCCATATATTTATCTAAGTGAAACATAAAATGGTTGTAATAATGGAGAATTTAAAGCAGCTTTAGCACATGAGCAGTAATGCTAACTAATATGGTGAATAAAGAGTGAATGTAAATTCTCAGAATTTCTGTTTCTTGTGATGTGTTTGCTAAAGTGAGTATGTCTTGGTTAGCTGGTGCAAACTCCTCATATTGATTAAGCTATGAAGAACTTTGATGGACAGAACCGGAAGGAGTAACCATTGACATGCAATCAGAAGCCATATATTATTTATGTGTGTGTGTATATATATATAAAGTTTAATTTTCAGACTGCAATACAATATACATGGCATCACAGAACTTGTCAAAATATAAATCCATAGCCCTTCTTTTGCTGGAGTAATGCTTGAATATTGCCACATATGTCTCTAGAGATAACTTATATGTGGCAGAAATCTGTATAATCTAATACCACCAGTTCCTATTGAATCTTCCTCATTTATGTCTCTTGAATTGAGCCTCTCATTTCCATTTCCTTGCCACTTGGTTTAGGCCTTCGATTTTATTTCATTTGTACTATTCCAGTAGCCACATTTCTGTCCACAACACCAACATTTCAACATCCTAGCCCACTTACTCGTTTATACCATTTATTTATCCATATAACGAAGCTGGCCACGTGGCTCCACTGCTAACAAACTTCTGTCAGCATCCTATAAATCTGTAATACTAAATCCAGACCCTTTAACTTGACATGCACATTCTGAAAAAGACCCTTGCTAGTCCATACTTAGCAGTCTCTGAAGTCACACTACACTCCTAAAATGCCCAGAATCTGTCTCATCTTCTTGTTTGCCTTCTGCTTATCCATTAGAATGTCCCCTCCTTTCTAAAGCTTCTGGACCCCCCAAGTAAGAGTAGGTGATTCACTGAAGTGCTTTTTCACAATAGTTTGCTCATATTTAGTTTAGAAAATTAACTTTGTAATTGTTGTATATGTCCATAATCTTAAACATTCTGAGCTCCTTAGAGATAAAGATAATCATGTTCATATTTGTATCTTGAGAACTAAACATGGTAGCATATGAAAGTGAGTGTTCTCACTGAATATTTGTTGAATGAATGAATGAATGAATGAATGAATAAATGAATCCAGGAAGGTCTGGATAAAAGGCCAACAGAAAACTGTTATTAGAAAACTTGAACGTAGAAAGACAATTCCAGCCATAAAACATCCACTAATTATTATTCTAAGGTGTCTTGAGACCACATCATACAGAACATTTTCCTCTCAATTTGTTGAGTGATATGTTTTTCATTAGAATAATGAATCAAAGGAAAATATTTTTAGTTTTGCATAATTCAGTCAATGTATAAATTTGTAAAAGTATCTCTCTTTTGTAAAGTAGATTGTAATTTAATATAAACTAACATTTTGACTCAGGCCCACAGATCTTGGTGTTAAATGTTTGCCATTGTTCCGTCTAACTAGCTATCATCTATTTTTATCTACTGATATATTTTATATCAGGCTAGAATCCAAGGAAGATATTCTCTAGAAAAGAATAATGATTCATGGTGCTAGAGTCCTATGAAACTTATATTGGTCTTCAGATTATTGGACTGGATATGGTGATTGATGTAAGAAGGGCTGATGAAAATTCTGTAAGCAAATAAAACCTTGCATGAGACTAAATATTACTGAATATGTCTAGATAGAGAAGATTACTTTTGTAGTTTGCGATTTCATGTCAGAGAACTCTGTACAGCAGAGAAGTACTGGGTTAGGTTCCATGTAGTGTTCCATAACAAATTAGGGTTGAATTAAGTAGTAAGGTCCTTGCCAAATATCTTTTTAATGTTGAAGTATTTATATTTTAATGTGAAAAGTACATATCAATGTTTACAAGTGAAAAATAACTTGGTGAGATATTTGAATATCATTACAAAAATTTCTGTTTTGCATTTATGTATGAAAACATGTATCTCATTTTACCTATATTTTCTTCTAATTGAGGGCATGATACCCGTTAGACTATATATAATTAAAAACTGCAGTTTCTCATGAGAATGAAATTTTAAATCCAATGCTAGGTAATATAAAAATCTAGTCAACCTTTGTAAAATTACATTAACTGATCATTAATTTAACTACCTGGCACAAGGAAACAATATGGCCATTGGACTGTAGGAGAAAATAAATTTTAAACATCTTATTTCCAGATTAGATACTGAAATAGTTTAAACTATATTTTCTTTGCAATACTTGTTACAATGATCAAATACTGTTATTCTTTATTTCTTTTATGCTGTATCATAATTTCCCACTATGGTTCATATAAAAGAGGACAGTATCTTTAAAAAGTAATTAATAGTTATCCAAAAGTTACTAAATTTTATTTTGTGTATAACCACTGTTCTTTTACTTTTTAATATGCTATCCAACTATGCCAGTTTCTAATGACTACATAGCCATCTAGAAAAATTGAGCATGTTTATATTTGGTCTCTTTTTTCTCATGGACAACCCAAACTTTTTTTTTTTTTCCCTTCTCTCTTTATGACTACAGAGTGGCTGGTCTAAAATCAAGTCATCTAAGAACAAGCTAGGAATCATAAGCACTAAAACTATATTTTAAAATCTGGATGACCAATATTATAGAAAAGCCAGAAATGTACTTGAATCTGTCAAATCAGCACATTCCTGTAATCCCTCCAGGATAATCATATAATTTGACACCAACACTTAAGCTTTGAGAATTATGTGACCATCTATTACATAATGGATGGTACATGTCCTCCAACCTTTTCTATCACTGACAGTACAAGACAGGCCTCCCCCATTTTAAAAAATCCCTTCTGTTATTGATAATTGCCTAAGATGTGTCTTCCTTTCCTTTTTTCAGAATGAAGAACAAATTTTGGTATTTTGAGTTTGGCACATCTGAAACTTTCTCAGCCACCTGCAAGAAGCTACATGAATCTGTAGAAATAGAAGTAAGAAAAATGAATTATCTTTATAATACTCTGAAATGGCTTGAATTTGACTTTGAATATGTTTGCAATAGGCCATGGAAGGAGGTATATGTTGAACAATTCACATGACTTTATCCAAGATTTGAAAATGTCACTTTTGTCTCTCATTGAGAATCTAGCACTATCTGAACTAGTAGCATAAAGTTGAGTTTGAGTATGAGTTGTCTTAATACAGTATAAAAGAATGAAAGGTGGACACAACTTTAGAAATCAGTGGAGAAGTTAATGAGCATAGTGTGGACAGAAAAATGTAAGATAAAAGAAAGTAACTGAAGGGAAGAAAAAAGTTACAAAACATTAAAAAAAAACTTATTATTTTCAGGTCTCAATATCTTATAACCTTTAAAACAGAGTTCACTAAAATTGTACTCACTTTCATGAATAAAGGTTAAAAAAATATACTTTTCCACTCCCATTCCCATTCATTAACTAGCTTTTCTCCGTTCCTGGGGTTGCCATTTCCCCATTATATTCATAGGAAATGGAAAAGCCAAGAAAGAGAGCAAAGATAGCAAAAAAAGATACACTTTAAAAAGATTTGGAGCAAATAGGTCTACCAAAAAAATGTAGACGTTGTAGGACTAAAAATTTGTAGGGCAAGTTTTAATAGAAAATGTCTTAGTTTTATTGAGAGAAAGGGGATGAAAGAAAAAGGCGAAGTTACATTTTGATAGGTGATAAAGACAAATCAAAGGAGCAGAATTATGAGACAAGAACACCTGATGACTAGATGATATGAATTGAGAAATATTGACCTTCACACTTTTCATTTTAAAAACAAATACATAGCTTGTCTACTGAGACCTAAATCATTAGTCACATATATTCAGGTAATATTATTGGTAAACAGAAGTAGTTTTGGACCATGAAGCATAATATTGGCCTGGCTAGGTTCATCATTATCCTGACTTTTAAATTTACTATTAGTGGTAATAACCTGAAAAGTGGTACCATTTCAGAATATAATCTTTTTGGACTTTTTTCACATCATGGTTGGTGAATAAATTGAAGTGTTAGGGGTAGAATTGATTGTTGTGGAAAGGAAAAAGCCCCTTATGACTGAATCGGATCATAACCTTGAAAAGGAATATAATTACAAAAGGTGAAGGATTTGGGCTCAAGATGGACTTTCTTGACTGCTATTTGTGATGATGAATATGGGTGCATGTTATATATATATATAAATTTGTGTGTATGTACACACACATATATATAGTTATATAGTTATATGTGCATATATATTTATAAAAAAATCATCTAAAATCTTCCTTTATCTTCAAAACTTTTTATTAAAAAATTCAAAGTATAGTAGCTTTTGAGCATTTTCAGAAACTTATGCTCAAAGAAAATCTGAAGCAGAAAGCAAAAATGAAAAAAAATTGAAATATGACTTCTGATTGAATGTAGGGTAGATATACTGAAGCCTCTTGGACCTCTCCTTACCTTATCCAACCACTGAACATAGATTGAAAAAAATCATCTAAGAGAGAGATTTCTTGTTCATGGATAGGTAAACTCAATATTGCCATATTTATCTTTTGGATACAATTTTAAAAGGGAATGTTTCTTTACTTTCCCTTTCTGATATTTCACTGTTATTGTAGAGAAATGCATCTGATTTGCAACTGTTAATTCAGAAAGATGAAGTGCATCCCAATGTTCATAGCAGTACTATTTATAACAGCCAAGACATGGAAACAACCTAAATGTTCATCGACAGATGATTGTATAAAGAAGTTGTGGTATATTTATATAATGGAATACTACTCAGCCATAAAAAAGAATAAAATAATGCCATTTGCTGCTACATGGATGAACCTGGAGATCATCATACTAAAAGAAGTAAGCCAGAAAGAGAAAGGAAATACCATATGATATCACTTATATGTGGAATCTAGAAAAAGACACAAGTGAACTTACTTACAAAACAGACAGACTCACAGACAGAGAAAACAAACTTATGGTTACCAGATGGGGAAGGGGGTACGAAGGACTAAATTGGGAGTTCAAGATCTACAGATACTAACCGCTATATATAAAAGAGATAAACAATAAGTTCATATTGTATAGCCCATGGAACTATATTCAATATCTTATAGTAATTTATGGTGAAATATAATATGAAAATGAATATGTATGACTGAAACATTATGCTGTACACCAGAAATCGACACATTGTAAGCTGATTATACGTCAATAAAAAAAATACAAAAAAATTGTCATGATGTTAGTTCTTCTGAACTTGAGCTAAACATTTATTATACAATCCTGATCAAAATTCCAGCAGATTATTTTGTGACTATTAACAGACTTCTTCTGAAGTTTATGTGAAAAGTCAAAAGACCCAGAATAGCCAACACAAAATTGAAGGATAAGAACAAAGTTGGAAGATTGATACTACTCAACTTCAAGACTTGCTTTACAGCTATAGTATTCAAGACAATGTGGTGTTGGTGAAAGAATAGACAAATCAATGGAGCCCAGAAATAGATTTCTCTAAATACAGTCAACTGTTCTTTGGTTAAGGAGGATGTGGATCACGGACCTAAATGTAAAATGCAAAACTATAAAACTTCTGGAAGATAACATAGGAGAGAACCTAGATGGCCTTGGGTATGGTGATACCTTTTTAGATAAAACGCCAAAGGCGCAATTTGTGAAAGAAATAATTGGTAAGATGGACTTCACTGAAAGTAAAAAATTCTCTTTGAATGGCAGTGTCATAAGAATAAGAAAACAAGCCATACATTAAGAGAGAATATTTACAAAACACATATGTAATAAAGGACTTTGTGTATCCAAAATATACAAAGAACTCTTAAAACTCAACAATAAGAAAATAAGCAACTCTATTGAAAACTGGGCCAAAAACTTGAACAGGTACTTCACCCAAGAAGATATACAGATAGCAAGTAAGCAGATGAAGTAATGCTCTACATCATATTTCATCAAGTGCAAATTAGAACAAGAGTGAAATACCACTGCTCACCTGTTAGGATGTTGAAAACAGCAGAAGCTGGTGAAAATGTGGAGCAACAGGAACTGTGATCCGTTGCTGGTGGGACTGCAAAATGGTACAGCCACTTTGGAAGACAGTTTGGAAGTTTCTTGCAAATTTAAGCGTACTCTTGCTGTATAATCAAACAGTCATTCTCCTTGGTACTTACCCAAAGAAGTTGAAAACTTCTATCAAGACAAAAACATGCACATGGATATTTATTACAGCTTATTTAATGATTGCCAAAACTTGAAGGGAAAGAAGAGGTCTTTCAGTGAGTGAATGGATAAATAAGTTGTGGTACATCCAGACAATGGAGTAGTATTTATTCAATGCTGAAAAGAAGTGAGCTACCAAGCTGTGAAAGGACACAGAGGAACCTTAAATGCATTCTCCCAAGTGAAAGAAGCCAATCTGAAAAGACTACATACTGTATGATGCCAACATATGATGTTCTGGAAAAGGTAAAACTATGAAGACAGTAAAAAGATCAGAGGTTGCGAAGGATTAAGGAAGAGAGAGGGAAGAACAGGTGAATTTTGAAGGTAATGAAAATACTGTGTGATGCAATGATGGTAACTTCAAGTCATTATACAGTTGTTGAAAACCAGAGAATGTACACCAAGAGTGAACCCTGATGGAAGCTGTGGACTCTGGGTTATTATGATGTGTTAATGTAGGTTCATCAGCTGTAACACATGTATCTCTCTGGTGTGGATGTTGATAATAGGGGAGGCTGTGCATGTGTGAGGACAGGGCATTTATAGGAAGTCTCTGTACCTTCCCCTCAATTGTGCCATGAGCCTTAAACTACTCTCAACAATTAAGTCTTAACTTACAAAAAAAGAAAAAAGGAACAAACCAAAAAACATGGATCTGTAGTATAATATTATATATGTCACAAAGTGGAAAATGTTCAAGGAAAAGTTTGTATCATGAAGCAAAAGACATTTGATGAAAATAGATAATGGATAACATTGATTTTAACATTACAAGTGATAAAATTCCATGATTTTGTTCCGTGGGACTTTACATCTTAGGGAAAGACTCTGGGGTTGTGGTTCCACATCCTCCCGAAGTCTGAGCTTCTCAGGTCTGCATTTACTGCCTTCTTCTTGGCACCGCTGCAGGAGCACTTGTTAATCAGAGCTAGTGCTGTGCACTCCCCATTCTGTTGTTGCATATCTTGAATTTTTACGTGTTTATCTTAATTTTGAAACGAGGTGTGTGTGTGTGTGTATGTGGATGGTAATGTAAAATCTGCTTCTCTATTTACTTTTTAATGAATCCAGTCTATCATATGAGCAGAATACGCCTTTCTACCCTCAAGGTTACTTCATAATTAAATATAACAAAAACAGCAATTTGGAAATTTGATTCTGTTGCTGTTGCTTCCTGTTTGGCCTAAAATGATACCAACTATGGTTTGAAAATATAAAACAGAGAATAAGACCACTTCAGTACAAGAGTACCTCAAGTAATGGATATATATTTTATTGACAGCTTCTTCAAAACAGACCATTTGCTGTGTGACCCTTTAATTCACATCTCTCTTTCATTTAGGAAGATTTTTTTCCCAAAAGAGTGAATATTTGGAATAATATTAATATCAAGGGGCAATAGTTGATGATAATAATAGCTAAGATTATTGTTAAAAATACCTTATGCTTGGTACTAAACAATGTATATAAGTTACCTGATTTAATCTTCCTCAAAATCCCATGATTTAGAGAGATTGTTATGTCTCCCCTGCAGAGATAAGCAGATGAACATTTTCTTCCATAATTAAAAAAGAAATGAGAATTGTGCTGCTTGCTGCCAAAATATTTAAATCTAAAGGAACAAATAAGTTGGATGGATGGATGGATGGATGGGTGGGTGGGTGGATGGGTAAATAGACAGATAGATATATAGATAGAAAGAAAGAACAAAGGGGAAATTTGTAACTTTAAGAAGTTCAGTT